TCTGAGCTGTCAGCACAGAGCCCGACATGGGGCCTGAACTCACGGACTGTGAGATCCTGACCCAAGCTGATGTTGGATGCCCAACTGACTGAGCCACCCAGGCACCCCATTGTTTTTTGAGCAGTTGTGGGTTCACGGCGACTAAGGGGTGCTGTAGAGCTTCCCACACACCCTGTGCCTGTCCCTGCTCATGCACAGCCTCCCCCATGACCGGCATCCCCCCCGGACGGTGCTTTGGTACAAGTGATGAATGTGGACGGACCACCCAGAGCCCAGAGTTTAATTTACGTGAGGCTTTATTCTCGGTGGTGCACATCCTACGGGTTTGGGCAAAGGTACAGTGACCTCTAAGCACCATTATGGTCCCAAACACAATAGATTCACGGCCCAAAAAGCCCCGTGTGCCCCTCCTCTCCAGCCCTGCCTCCTCCCCAACCCCAGGCCACCACCGATCTTTCTACTGTCTGCATAGTTTTGCCCTTTCCAGAATGTTCTACCGCTGGAGTCATATTGGCTTGTTTCACTGCTGAAGGACACCTAGGCGGCTTCCCAGTTTCGGGAACGAGGAATAAAGGTGCCAGACCCATCTGTGTGCAGGTTTCCGAGGGGGCACGTTTTCCGGTCCAGGGGTCTGGCCGGGGGTCCGTCCCATTTCTGCTGGAGAATGAACCCCCCGGCTCCTGTGTCTTAACGGATGAGTGCGGGGGGCAGGTCTGCGAGGGTAACACCGCACAAAGTTGCCACAGACCGTTTGCCAACAGATTCCCTCCCTGATCCAACACAAGCCCCAAACCCTCAATTATCGTCAACATACTGGGATTTTTCTCTTTTTGGGGCCGATTTCTCCTCTCTGCTTCCCGCAGGGGAGAGGACAAGGCCGCAGGAAACAGGCGGTCATTTACTGCAGGCAGATCGATGCCGACTTTCCTCTTGGCTTCTGGCCACTGGCGACGGGCCGTGTGCGTGCAAGCATTGCACGGAATTCCCAAGATTGCCCGGGTCGGGGTGAAGGTCGGGGCCTTTCAAGGGTATGATACTTAAGTATGCACGTTTCCCAAGGAAAAATTGATGTGTTATGTGATTATGGTTTTATACGGCAGAAGGGAGAAGAAAGCAGTAAAAATCTTTAAAGATACTTTGCAGGGCCGGGACGGGGGGGGAGTCAATACATTTTTCCAGAGGACACAGGAAGAAAGTCTAAGAGGACAAGTAATTTCATGAGACGTCCCCCGGCGGACTTACGGAGAAAGAGTCGTCCGAGGCGGAAATGGAAAAGAATCAAAGCAAATAAACAGAAGGATGTGACTCCCCACTGAGGTTTGTAAATAGAACCCCAAGGACTTGGAAAGGCAGCCGGTGCGCGGAGAACAAGGAAGAAGCTGAATGTTAACAGATGAAAGGGAGCAGGGAGACAGCGTCCAAGAACGGTTCTCGCTGCATCGGGATAAACGAATTCAGGAAACGTGTGTGTGGCTGGGTTCTACACGGAACGGTTAACTGCTTGCTTTTGTAATACGTGGTGTCAAAAACCAGAATGCAAACCGTGAGAATACATGCTTGTTTTCTATAAATACGAACATATTTGGGTCATTAGTTAAAGAATAATTCGAAGGCTAATCTGAAACAAAAGTTACAGGTGGTAATGTGGTACGTTGTGTGGGGGGAGGGCAGAAAAACGTTCCTCCTAGACTTTTGAGGGCTGTCCATAAGGTCTGCAAATTAAATTGAGAACTGCTAGATCAACAGGGGAAAGTCACATCAATGTTATTCTTAACGTTACATCTGTAGGGGGAACTTCATAAAAGACCATTAGGCTTGGGTTTATATACCATTTAACCAAGGTTGGGAAATGGTGGAGGAGTGAGTAGACAAAGGAAAGGGGGTGTGGGCTGCCAGAGGTGATAAATAATTGTGGGAGGACGGAGGCAGACCTGGGTGGGCGCATCTGTAAGCGGCAAACATTGCCACGGGCGTCTGGAACCGACTCTGCCCCCAAGAGCCTCGGGAAGGAGCGTGCCCCTCACCGTCTGGACGTCTAGCCTCCAGAGCTGGCAGAGACTCAGGTCCTGTGGTTCTAAGCCATGCTGGCTGTGGTGCCTTGTCACGGACGCCCCTGGACGACGTCGTGCGATCCACGGACATTCACACACCAGCTCTGCCCAGAGGAGCATGTGTGTTAGCGGTACACGGGCAGCCGTTTCTTCATCCGGGAGATCGGCAAACTTTGCGACGAGGAGACCCTCGTCCGTTCTGAGGACGGGAACCGGGACGGGGATACACGTCTGCTTTGGGCCCACGGAGGGGAGAGAGCGTGGTCCCAGGCCCTTCCTTGCCCGGCACATCGTGGTGAACAGTGGTCACCCTTGGTGTCGAACCCAAGCTGGGGTAGCGCAGATAAGACCCACAGAGGACCTCGTCGGTCCTCAGGTGTCCACGGCTACAGGAGGCTGGACAGCGACACAAGCCGGGGTGCAGGGCAGTCTAGACGTTGCTGGAAAGGTGTTTTCTTAGCTGGGAATAACACTGAAATCGGTAGATTTGGAGGAAAGTGGGTCACCCTCCCAGGGGCGGGTGGGCCTCGTCTAATCAGTTGAAGGCTTTAAGAGGAAACATGGCGTTCCCTTCAAAGAGGAAGGGACTTGGCCTGGAGACTGCAGCTTTGAAATACTCCTTGAACTACCAGTTTTTAGGCTCCAGATGGCAATTCTGACTCTTAGTTGCTTCACCAGCCTGCTTGTCAACCCCATAGAGGCGGGATTTGTCAGTCTCTCTGATCTGTGAGCCAACTCGTTAACGAAATCCATCCAGGGGCTCCTGGGTGGCTCAGCTGGTTGGACGGGTGAGTGTCGATTTCCGCTCAGGTCACGGTTTCACCGTTTGTGGGCTCGAGCCCTGCGTCGGGCTCTGGGCTGATGGCTCGGAGCCTG